TCAAAATACTTCAACAAGGAGTTTGCATGGACACGTACAAATGGTTTGATCATCAGATCCAAACTTTCGAGGTCTTGGTTGCCAGCTTTCCTGTATAAAGTTTATGAAAATCATCCAGGAGTTTTACAGGAAGTGGCAGCTTGTGTTTGCACTGCAGACACCACTGAGGTTTCTGGAACGGATGTTTGCAAGTTCTGTGTGTTGTTATGGCCAGTGTCTTGTGTTGTGTTTTGTGTCTCAGTGTTTAAATTTATCTGCCTGATGATCCTGTCTGTTTGGTAAACTGAAGGAGGCTTTTAAGGGGACAGCAAACCAAAGGTGGAACCATACTAAAGATACAGTGGTGTCAGAGGCAGTCTCAACAGTCCTTATGTAAATGTTGGTGGAGTTGCTAATTGGGTGTGTGCACCTGCCTGACAAGGCAGTTGGCAGCATTAACGCTCCCAGGCCTGGATGACAGGAGTTACGTGTTGCAGTGTGGCAAGGAGGGGCTGATCTCAACCTCTGAATTTGAATGCAGCTGGATTTATTCATTTACTGTGATAAATACAAGTGGCAGTGCAGACCCAGCCTAAAGTGGCAAGTCCATAGGGCCTTGTGGCTTTATCCAGAAGGGCATTGGAAGTAGATGGTGGAGGAACATGTGCTCCTGCAAGAGACAAAATCCCATTTATCTTCCTGGTACAGAAAGCAACGTGGGGTCTTTTATGGTACGGATAGTTAGGCAGAACCAAATTTACAAAAGGGTTTTTGACAACCAAGATAACCTGAAAGTCCTGCTTTGTGTTGTGCCAGTGGCCCGCTTTCAGGGACCAGACACTTCAGCACAGGCTGAGCAGGAGTGCAAAGGCTTGTCCAACATCCTGGTTGCTGCCCATGCCTAGGCTAGGAATTGTCTCTGACAAACTCCCTGTGAACACTGCTGTTAAATCAGGAAGAGCTTCAGCAGATGTGTCCCTGTCACTCGTGCCATTTTTCCTGCAGGTGCTGTAGCAGACAGCCTGGCATGTTGTGGTCACATCTGATCAGGGTTTTTATGAGCTTTGTTACTTCCAAAAGCAGAATATGTTTCAGCAGCCTTACAATACCAGCAGTTTGTGTAGTGGCTATTGTCAGAAACCTAATTGCCCATTTGGAGGGAAGGATCAAGAGATGCCATTTTATGAAGGGTTTCAGTGGGGGTGACTTGTACTTGCAGGTGGAAAATGGTGAGTGTGCTGCTTTGTTACTGTCATATGTTGCTTGTGAAATTATCATCACTAAATCAGTGATGATGTTTTATAATCTATTTGGTAAATTATAAATTTGATATATGTTATAATTATTTTATAATCTATTTTATCCTCTGTTTGAGGAGCTGCTGGCTGCTTTCCTCTGGTATCTTCTAGTTTTATGTGTCCTTCCTTTCCTTCCTCAGGTGCAAGGTGTGTGTGCTGGTGTGGGTGCCTGTGCTGTGTGCCAGAGGCTGCTTGGACTTTGGGTAACAGAAAAAAGTGGTTGTGTGTGGTGTGTCACTGGCTTTTAGTAATTATAAATCAATAACATTAGTCGTGTTTTCTTCCCCACTATCAGAGACAGTTCCTGAGTTTCCTGTTTGCCTCTTTGGCAAGTTTACATTTCCTGTGAGTAAGGAAAATACCAGCTTTTTTAAAGTAGGTCAGGTTCAGTGTTATGGTATCCAGTCTGAGCTGTATTTGCTCTTCAGCAGGGCTGAGCTCAGTGCCAGCCCTCCACTTCCTCCCCAGCACTTGCACACTTGAGCAAACCTGCTCTTGGCTCCAAAGACTGTGGGACAGGATTAAGCCCAGTTAGCTTGATGTTCTGGCAGAGGGAAAGGTGAAACTGTAGTATGTTCCATTTCAAATTTGAAGTTATAGTCAATCCTTGTGCAGTCTGAGGACATTAAAATGCCTGGCAATGGCACACCTGTGCACTAAACTGTGGTAAACTCAACTGGTCTCCCAGTTTTGCTGCCCTGAAATTTCTAGGCAAGTTCTGACTAACAGCATTACTGTCCCTTTAATGCTGGGGTGAGTCCTGCTTACAAACAGTCTCCTTAGCATAAAGACTTTAAATTGTTCTTGCAATAGCTGTTGCCTCTTTGAGGCAGTGAGATAAAAGCTGGATATGCAAAACATCCCAAACACCACCTCCCTAAATTCTTAAGACCTAAATTCTTAATTCGCGTCAGTAGCTTTGCTGCAGTCGTGAAGTCACCTGTTTTGGGGTTCCTGTTACTTAAAAATGTTCATAATAGGTTTGTTCTATTAAAAAACTGCTGCTTGTGAGCAGTGATCATAAAACCTTGTAGCACAGCCATACCTGGGCCATGACTGGCGGTGCACAGGAACAGTGACAAAGCTGCCAGAGCTCCTGGGGCAAACTGGGCCCAGGAGCCTTCAAATGCACACATGTGCTGTCCAGATATCCTTATCACTCCAAAGCAGGGTGCCATATTCCAGCTGCTAGGATTGGTGGGGCTTTTTTTGTTCGTTTTCTTTAAATTTTAGTAGCTGGGGCTACAATTCTGCACTGGTGAGTGGTGTCAGTGTGGGAAGTTTCCCTTCTCTGGTCTGAAGGCAGTTCCTTGTGTGGTTTGGACAGAGATTTCTCAGAACTAGAGAAGAGACAGAAGATTTTGGAAGAGAGAGGTGAGATACTGGAAGGATGAGATACATTTGCTCTGCTTTCATTGAGCTGGTGTTGAGCTGGTAAGTGCTCTTCAGGAAATATTAAGCCTTGCTCCTCATCCTAAATACTGAGCTCACATCCTTTGGAGGAGGTGCAGGTGCACACAGGGGAAGTGTCTGTAGGAGATGTTTCACAGGGGCTTCTTAAACACAGAGCATCCCATAGGATGGGTGAAGCATCTTGCAGGTGCACAAGCCAGGCATTAAACATGTCCTTGGCAGGCACAGTTTAGCAGTAGCCAGAGAGGCCAAGAGCGTGGTCCCATTCTCTGCTCCTGTCTTTTGGCTCAGATGGTAAGGAAATATAGCCCCTGAAGTCTTGGAGAGGCCTCTGCCCTGTAATTTGTTGCCCCGGGTGGGGGGTTTCAGGTGGCAGCAAAAGGCCTTGGTGAGACCTCATAAACTGTCACGTAAGGTGATGGTTTGCTGAGTGTGTGTAAATGGAAACTACCAGGAGGACAGGGAGCACTTGGGACTGCTCAGAAAGTGCTCTTGGCTTAAGTGGAATCTTCAGCTGGTCCCAGTTCCCTTCGCTGGTGTAACTGCTGTGCCTGGACACTGTAATGACGGGGCAACAACAGAGAGGAGGTGACACTCTGAGCCTGCTTTTATTTCACTTTGGACACTCATTCTTTTGGACTTTTAGCCCTGGCTGTGGTTGGTTAGTTGTCACAGTGTTGTCTGAAGTTTAATTACTCGGCTGTAAGACCCTGGTTTAATGCATGGTCCAAGTGCAGGTACAGAGTTGTTGGTGACACTGAGAATCACTACAAATCATGTCACTGAGGCAGAGGAGGGGGAGGATGCTTCGGGGAGCTTCATTACCCAGAAAGCATTTGCATGATCAGGCACAACTTTATGGTCTTCCTGGTCCTTGCCTCAGCCCTTTGTGCATGCCAATGGGTTGATTTGATCTCAGCTCTGAATCCAGGAGAACCTGGAACCTCTCGCAGCAGAAGGGAAGTATTTCAGCACAGGAAGTATTTCGTGGCAGTGTGTTTGTGACAGTGCACTACAGCTGCCTTGGAGCAAGCTGTGGAAAAGTGAGGCATTAGAAAGACGTGGAAGTAAAAAATGGTGTTTGCATAAAAAGTAAGAATGTAGCTGGAATCCTGTTGTGCCCCTAGAATCACAGCTCTCTGTGCCACATCAGTAGTGGTGTGTTCTTGTTTGAGTAGGAGTGGCACTGGCACTGCAGAAGTAAGTGATGGTCACATTGGGAGGTTTTCCTGAACCCTTTCCTGTAAATGCTGTCAGTGCTACACAGATACAGAAAAAGGACAATGTAGTACCCAAACCAGTGACACTACAGGAAGGGCAAGGGCTGTGTGTAGGTGCAGTGCATCAGGGCAAAGTTTTTTGGCTCTTTTCTTTCACTCCTTTGTTTGTCTTCTCTAAATTGCAGGGCACAAGGGGCTGATGGTTTTGTATTTTCTGGTAGCCAGAATACCATAAAACCTACACATTTGCTTTAAACGGAGAAAGTGCTGGGGGTGTGGGGGTGTTTTGTGTTTGTTTTCTGTGCTGCTCAGTTGTAAAGCATTGTACTGGCATTTTAACACTCATTTCAGACACGGTCATGGATGTTCTCTTTTTAAATCTGATAAGGGCACAGTAACCTGTGGAACCAGTCTGTGCTTGTATCTTAATCTAGGGATTACAGACAAGCAGCTATAGGGAAAGCTATGCTCCTGCAAAATCCATTGCTGACAAATTGGGTATGATGCCTAAACCAACAGCAAATCTGGATTTGTGTATTTGCAGAGGTTTGGGTTAGTAGAAAAGGATGTGGTTTATTTGTGTGTGTGTATTTGAGTGTACTAACCTGTAAAAATGTACTACTTTTTGAATGCCCTTTCTTCCCTTCCTGTGTGAAATCCTTTCCTAAAAAACTTAATGGCCCCTTGGCAGAGATGCTGTTATAAAACACATCAGTTTTAAATGTCATAATCTGTCTTCCTATATGATAGAAAATTTATTTTCAGTGATTTATTAACTTCAGGGCTGTATTTGATTAAATACCCATCAGTGCTTGACTTCTAAACGATTTAGAACCATCTCCCTTTGGAAAGAGAGAGGTAGCAGGACTGACCAGCCAGGAGATTGGATGTGTGTCATTTCAAGTGGATGGGTCTTTGGATGCAAATGGCTGTGTTGTGTTTCCCTAACAGATAGTTCAGTTTTCTAAAATTAGGTGGTGATGGTAATTTTAATTTAGGCATCACTGGTAGGAAAATGAAATTTACAGAATTTAAAAATGGCTTGTTAATTAACTGCTGTGGTTTGTTCTGTGTGTTATTTTTTCTCTAGACCAGTCGTATTGTCATCGCCTGCAGCACGACATGTATTTCCTTACAAGCACTAGCCGACTGAATGAGCAAGTGGTTGATAAAATTATCCTTCAACTTAACAGAGTCTATCCCCAAATTCTTACCAATGAAGAAGCAGAAAAGGTAATTTGATGAGTTCTGTTGTGTTGTTTTTGCAGGTCACTAGCCTAGCTCTTCCCCACAGACAGCCAGTCTTCCTCACCTCCTCCTTGCTGGCCAGTTGTGTCTGGGATCTCATGTGAGAGGAGCAGTCACAGGGCTGGCACATTCCCCGTGCCAAGTGGTTATGAGAGAGGACACTCTCCCAGCAGCAGCTGAGTGCCAGGGTCCCTGCCCTGACCAGGAGCACGCACCCTCACAGCCACTCCATGGCAGGAGTTCACCATCCTGTGACCAAGTGCCCCACGTGCCTCCTCCTCACATGGGGCGGTGTGGGGGTGTCACCTCAGGTGATCTGTGCTGCATCCAGCTCTGCCCACAAAATCATCTCTTTTAGCTTAATCAGTTTTAGTGACTAATTAATAACTCCGAGTACTGGTAGAGAAGGAGGGGGTGTTAGTCCCACCAGTAAGTGCAGGAGCCACGGGAAGTGGATGGAGTTAGTAACATCTTGCAGTGGTGCTGCCAGGTGTGCAGAAAGGCCATCCTCCCTGGCATGAATCTTTCAAAAATGGGAGGTGTTTTTAGAGAGAAAGAGCTTCTAAGTTTGTGTGGAGACAAAGTTAAAGAGCTTCCCTGATCCTACTTGTAACAGTTTGTACTTGCCCTGTGCTGGCTTCCTGTCTGCACAAGGCTCAGGGTTTTGGCATATCAGTGTTTTAACCTCAGGAAAAATGGGTCTAATTCTGCCATAATCAAACCCCATGGGGACAATTAGTGTTTTGTGGTGTAGAGCAGAGCTAGATCATCAGCTGAGCCAGTCTTGCCACTCAGTTATGATAACCAGTGTGACATGTGCCAGACAAGATCATCTTATTCCCTCAAGAGCTTCAAAAGAAATACATAAAGAAACTGTGAAATGTGATTTGTGAGTTCTGCACTTAGACAGCAGTGAGCTGCTTTTGCATGGGTCCAGGCAAGTTTGTGTCAACTCTGTTGAGGAAGCTTGTAATCTCAGCTGTATCTGGTAGACCCTGTGGGAATTTAATCAGAATAAGGAGTGTTGTGTAAGGTCTGTGGCATTCTTGCCCCCCTTGAGCAGGAATTGTTCCTAACTCAGTATGCTCCAAAGGTTATCCACTGTGCTGCAATGAAATATGATGCTTTGCTGAGAATGGCTTTGGATATTTTCCAAATAAGCTGAAATCAGTTTGATGTGTAAGCCTAGGGATGCATTTTCCTTCTCTTTGTAAGGTCTCCTAATGCTTATCACATTCAGCACTACAGAAAAGAGGCAATTTCCTCTGCAGCTGCTTGCCATGTCACCTGAGTAATGGGAATTTGTGCCTGTTGAACTGGGCACTCAGCAGTTAATTGTGCTGGAATCAAAGAAAAACAATGAAATATGTAATCTTGGGATGATGAGCACTCCAATACTGGGACTAGGATAAGGAGTATAAAGTGCCTTTTTGGGGATCATTATTAGACAACTAAGAGCAAATTTGAAAACATCAAGCTTTATTATAAGATTTGATGATATTTTCTATCAACAGTCAGAATAGAATTGTAGAATAGCAATACCATGTTAGCTTGGATCCGGGGAAGACATCAAATGCAGTGGCTTTCCCTTGATCAGGATGGAAAAAAGCTTGAGGGGAAGCAGAGGCAATATCCTCTCCATCAGGCAGTGCTGACCATGTGGAGCTCAGTGCTCTGCAGTGCATGTATGTCCTTTATAGGTTCTGCTTATTTTTTTGGGCCTTTGAAATATCAAAGAAGCTCCAAATCTTTGCTCCCTGGCATACTGGAAAGTGATGTAAAATTGATCTCTAGCTGTTGTAATCTGTCTTCTGATGAGTGCTTTTCTCTTACAGTTCAGGAATCCAAAGGCATCACTCCATACCAGACTCTCAGATCTGTTAAAGCACCTTCAAAAGAAAGGAGACAGACACTGTCAGGAGTTTTACAGGGCTCTGCAGATCAATGCTGAACAGCTGTTTAATGACCTGCCAAGTAGGAAAATCTTGAGTAAGTTGATTTGTAAGTTGATTGAGTTGTGAATTTCCTCATCAGTGAATTTCCTCCTTTCAGATGAGGTTTAGGTTATTTAGACAACCTAAACAGGTTATAAATAATATAAATAAACAGATTATTTAAAAAAATGTTGGGATATACCTTAATTCCTTTTCACTGGAGTTTTCCAAAAGCCATACGGGGATTTGACTTCTTGTTATTTGCTGATTAGAGCGGGCAAAACTCTTTGATTCTTTTGAAATATGAAATATGTCTTTAAAACAGTTTTAAGTGCAACATGTCAGCAGTATAACTCCTATGAATTACAGCTTCTCTTTCATAGCCATTGCTTCATAATGGCTTGTTTATTTCCTCTGTGCTTATTCTGACTTGCAGCACAGGGGAACATCACAAACCTCCAATTTGTTAAGCTCAAATGTCTGCTGGCCCAGGAGCTTGGCTTTCCCTCAGTCCATAAATCTCCTCTAGTGTCTAGTTTAACACAAAGCACACATTCATAGGCCCTTGCACTGATGGACTGTGATATTAAAATCACTTAGGACTTGTTTTGTGCAGCTGACAGGCCTGACTGATGTCCATAAAGCTGCCCCCAAATACACTTGTATGCACTTTGTAAGGGCTGAGGCTCAAACAGATTTGATTCTGTACTGCAAAGGAGTTCATTTCTTTAAGGAAAATTTCAAGCCTGACTTGCCAGCATGTGATAATGCTGTCTGCTGTGTGTTGGTCTTTCTTTTTTTCCCTACCTAAGAAATGCAGGAAAGAACACTGTTGCAAGTGGATGGGAAATCGGTTCAGGCATCCTGCACAGTGAAATGACTTGAGGAGCTTGAGGGAAAACTCCCCCATTTATGTTAAGGAAGCTGCAAAAGGACTGCAGTTTAAGAAATCCTTATAAAGTATCCCAGCAGTAATGCTTCACCAGTCACTTGATTTCTTCTTGTAAGAAACTCCACAGTGAGGTGCCAGGGCAAATCACAGGCATGAGACAAACTCCAGTGGGATTCAAACCATTACTGCAAAAGTCTGTAGGTTGACCTCTTTTATTTCTGCAGTGAAAATGTCGTGCAAAACTGTAATTAGCTTAATTTCAACTTTCATTTTGAAGGAAGGGATTTCTATTTACCCAGCACAAACACTGTGAAGCTGCAGAGTTACCCTGCATCCATACCTGAACCCTTTTGAACTGGGGACTTCAGGGCCCATCCCTGCCTCAGGATCTCAGCTGAACACTAATCCCAACTGATTGAGCCTTGCAGCAGCTTTAAGACAGTGTTATGATCTGATACTCACCTTGTAGAAGTCATGCCCTTTGGGAAACAGGCTCTTAGTTTTGGATCTATGGTTTTTACTTGGGTAGAACTCAAGAGCAACAGGTTTTTCTGCCAGGCTGACTAGAAGTCAGCAGACAGCCTGTGTAAATTAAGAGCAGTTTAAAAAACCTTAGTGTAGTCACTAAGAATAAAATTTCAAGACTGTTTTGATGTTTAAGAGTTCAAGTTAATGTTCAATAGCACCTTCTACAAGCTGTTTCTGATAATATGTCTTCACAAGGAGACTTGGGTAAGGTCTGTGAGGTGTTTTCACTTTTAGCTAGAGCAGAAGTGTGCTCATCCTTGCACTTGATTTCTGTGGTGACTCAGAGCTTTCTTCAGGTGGCAAGATAGGCAGGGTTAGAGCTTCTCATGTGCAGACTGTGCATAGCAAGTACCTGTGCTAGAAGTGCTTCCTGTTAAACATACAGCTGCTTGTGGTGCCCCAGAACTGTTTTGCTGCTGCAGCATTATACAAAGGGACTTCAGTAACCATCAAAAGTTGTTAAATTCTCTGTATCTTGGCACACTCTCTTATGTTAACCATCCTCAGAAGGATGAGAATAGTTTAAATATCTGGGTTAGAACACTACTATTTGCCGAGATTCTGCAGTTTCCTTCTGTTGACCTGAGAAGGAAATACTGAGATGACTGTGTTAATATGCTTGCTGCTTCTTATGAGTTCTGTAATTAAAACAAACGTCTGCAGTCTGGATTGAATGGTCAAGAAATGGTCAAGTGGAAGGTGTCCCTGTCCGTGCCCGGGGGGTGGAACTGGATGGTCCTTAAGGTCCCTTCCAACCCAAACCTTTCCATGATTCTGTAATACTCTTAGGAGTACTTGTTAGATTTGTCAAATTTAGCACAGAGCATTTACCGAATTGCCACTAGAATTTGTAAATGTGAGGAAAAAGGAGAATCCCTAACATGGGGAGTTTGTTCTAAGTGTAGATTGAGCTGAAACAAACAGCATTACAAACACCTGGAGAAGTTATTGATAAGGACATGGATGAACCATGGCCAGGATGGAGTTCTGTAATATCTTACATACTGTACATATGACAAATGTTTTCTACAGAGGAAATCCTTTCAAATATATCTTTTTCATTTTTAAAGCAGCTTTAAAAATTGTGCTAGAACAAAAGTTCTTTGCCTGAAGTGTAAATTGCCAGCGCAGTGTCTGGTAATGTCGGAGCATTCCCACTAGAGGGGGGGTAAGGCACACGATTGGGGCAGCCTCAGAGCTATTGAAGGCAAACAGGAGCTTCCAAGTGACTCAGAAAATGTTTTTATTTCCCTCAGTGCTGACAGAGACTAGAAGGATAAAGGCTCAGACCAGTCCCAGGCAGCAAAATCCCGAGAGAAGTGCAGAGGTCTGGTTGTGCTCTCCTGTGCAGAGTGAGGATTTGCAGCTGGAGTTCCTAGGGAGGACATCAGCCCCTCAAAGGGGTGAGGCTGCCAGTGACACAGAGTGCTCCATGGAGGCTTTGCAGCAATCCTTCCTGCTTCAGGGACTCTCAGGCCTCACAAAGCAAAGTGCTGCAGGGGTTTCTGTCCTGCACCAGTGCCATGTGCTGCCCCCACACCCAGGGGGACATCTTTAGCAGGGGAGGTGGCTGTTCTCCTGACAGCAGCTCCTGTTGCTGCCTGGGTGTGCAGGGCAGTTTTCCAAGGCACCTCACCGAGCTCCAGATGTCATGTAGGAGAAGGAGATCAGTAGAAACCAGTCAGTCTCAAATTATTTCCTATTGACAGCCATATTTGGAGCTCTCACTTTTTCTCCTTTCCTTTTTTTAACCCTTTTAACCCTTTGGCTGTTGGGCTTGGTGATCTTAGAGGTCGTTTCCAACCTTTATGATTCTGTGATTTTTTATGACCACAAAGAGATTTGGCTGAAAAAATTGTTATGCAGATTGGTGATGTGTTGAGGAAAGTCACTCCTCTGCCATGTCTGGTGACTGCTGTGTGCACACCCATTCTGCAGTGTTGTCTCCACATCTGTGTGGCAAAGGCAGCTCTAAAAGGGTCTTTCTGCCCAGAGTGGAAACTACTGAACACCCTGTCTTAAGGCCAACCTCCTTTTCTGCTTGAATTTGCAGAAAGATAGAGGCAAAAATTATTTATGCCAAAGGTTAGCACGTAGAACCTACAGATTTTCAAAGAAGCTGAGCATGTCTTTAGCCAAGACCTGAATTTAGGTAAATGATCTGCACCAAGAAGCTTTTTCCAAGTGCTTTATCCATTAAATACATCAATACCCAGAGAGATTTGCTCAAGAACAGAGAATGGTGATACATCAAATTATAAAGGTGTTTTCAGATTAGTGCATCTATTAACAAATCGTTTATATTTATTACCATGAAAATTGCTGGCATTATGGAAGAATTAGCTCCTGCTTTCCTCACTTGGAAAACAAGTGTGATGTTATTTATGTGCTCAGTTTGCTTAAGCAGATCAGAGGTGGGGCTGCAGCTGTTTTTGGTTGCATTCAGGTGACTGTGTGCCTGTCTTTTGATCAGCATATCCCCACCTTTGACTCTAGTGATGATCTGCCTTTGGAGGGGTTAAAACTTCATGTCAGTATTGGGTATTTTTTTTGAAATGTGTTGTTTTGCACCATTTTGCATGTGCTGATTATGTTTGTTTGTTTGCTTGAGCTGAGTACTAACTTCTCATGTGTTGCTTTTATTTCTAGAAACCCCAGATCCCACAGAGATAGACACTGACAAGGAGCAATATATGCTAAATGACAGGGGTAAATAAACCATACAGTGTCACCGGATGGAATGGCTTTGCAGATTACGATGCAATTTATTTTATCATGTAATTTGCATTTCATGTAACAACTAGTTTGGTTTATGATGTCTTTACTGTCACAAGTTAAGTAGAATTAATGGAGTAAAATGTATTGAGCTGCTGTTGAGGAAACCAGTGCCAGGAAATTGAAGAGACTGTAGAGTTTAATCAATATTTACAATGGTATTTTCACTTACACTGTTACAGCTAAACTCTTCATTTCCTGTGATTTCTTCAGTGCTTGAACAGTAAGGGCTATTCAGATGCTGCTATCACTTTGCATAAGGCCATCAGGTTTTTTTTTTAATATGACTTTCAATTTTTTTCATTTTTTTGAGCTCTCAATTTAAGTACAAATCATTTGAAAGCAAAGGCAGAAAGGAAAGATGTACTTAAATATATTTTCCTTAGGAAAACATGTTAATTATTTTCACCTTCCTCTGTTCAATGCCAGATTGCACAGACAAATATTTTATTCACTGTAGGATATTTTGGAAAGGAAGAGCTGAAAGAAAGATGAAGACTTTTCTGAATTTATAATGAGCTGTTTTATCATTTAAGTTTAATTAATATTTTATTTAGAATTTTGGATACAATTATGAGATATTCAAGACACTTTCTGTAAATTATGCCTTTTTACCAGTTTTCTGGGAGAAGACTGAAACGAGGGGCAGAAACACAGTGTAATGCAATGTATACTTTTGCCTGTGGTGGTGTTTCTTTGAATATGGAACCAAATTGCTCTTCAGATTTTTCACATTGCTGTTGCTGTCTGCATCATGAAAGTACAGGAGGAGCAGAGAAAGTGCTTGGAAATAAGAAAATGAAATATTATTTTATTTTTACTTTTTAAAAGTGTCTTTTCCTGAACTGTCCTCAAGCTGGAGATTGTCTGGCCTCTAACCACCCTCACTGGGAGGTTACATCCCAAAGAGCAACCAAATCCTTGCTCCTTTGCTGTTTCTCCAGTGTCAGCTCCAGGAATTTGTTAGTCTGCAGCACCCTTGTCCTTAAATTGACAGATGTAGTTTAATTGTAGCTCTATTCCTGGTGAAGTGGTAAATACAAATAGAATATTGGGCAATAAAGGAGCAGATATAAATCTTTACAGGGTTTTGTCAGCAGCTAAGTATGAATTAGAAAGGTTTTATTGAACATCAATACCAACCATCAGCATTAAATGTGTAATTCCAGGCAGGCAGTTTCCAGGGGGAGATTTGTTTTAGGCCCACATGTGGCTCTTCATCTCAGCCCTCAGGAGAGCTGTCAACAGGAGCAAGAATATCTGCTCTTGTCATGAGAGTGGAGTTTGTGGAACATCTGTGGGGGATAGAAAAAACCCCTGAAAATGTAGCTCTGAGGGGCTGTGGTCTCTTACCCTCAGGCAGGGGCTGTGAATGGAAGTGCCACGCTGTGTGGTGAGAGCCCTGCAGGCTGGGTAGTGTTTCTTGTGGTGTTTAAAGGGGGTTTGCACAAAGTTTGAGAGTGATGAAACATCCAAGGAAGCTTTCCCTCAAATTCTACAGGCTGTAGCTAGATGAGCAGAGGGGAACAGAGGGGGGTGGCAAAGCAACTGTAGTAAAAATTAATTGCTGTCCATTAAACGTGCCTCATAGAACATTAGCCACAGAACAAACAGAATTGTGAATGTGTTAGCTTCATTTGAGTATGCTTAATTATGCATATTAATAGCAATTGATGATTTATGAACCAAGCTAAACTTCTGCTGCCCTTAATGTGTTCCCTTTCACGTTTTCTCCAGGCCCAGTGTTTTTCCTGGCCTGCTTCAGCGTGGCTGCAGGACTTGCCCTGTTTTGGTATTGCTGTAACTCAGGTGAGCTGCTCTGTGGGGTTTCTCTTGGAAAGGGAAAGGAAGCACCTTGGAAGGCTCTGCCTTCCCTGAGCACGGGACAGAGGGGGCTCCTGATCTGACAGTGTCATCATTCATCAATGAGCTCAGGATACAAACTGCACTGCAGACGTGCTGCAGTATAAATAATGGATGGTTTGCCTGAGAGGATGCCACAAATAGGGACTCTTTTTAAAGGCAGTGGTCACATGAGCTCCTGTTGCTATAGCAATGGGTCATGAGACAGACCCAAGGCCTCTGGTTCCCACAGCCCCTGGGAGCCTGTGTAAGCTTGGCCAGTGCCAGGGCTGGACTGTGCTGGCTTGACTGGCTGAGCCCGAGCAGCTACAGCCATTGCCCCTGCTGCTGGCTCTGGGTGTTGGCTCTACCTGTCACTTTTGGGTTAGTGCCTTCTGCTCCTTGTGCCCCGGACACAGCAGTTACAGTTACATTGTTCTCTGCTGGTTTCCTTCACAGAGTTGTAGGTTTCGAGTAGCACCAGTCAATGGACTTTTCAGGTGATGTGGAAGTCTGGGCTCTGTGCTTCATTCCCAGATCAGAATCCCTCAGCTGGACTGTCCATGGTGTCACAGTTTAAGGCTGAGGGAACCCTTAGACCCTCAAGCCAAACCCATGTATTTCCTTAGATGCCATTGCTTCGCCTCATCAGGTTCAGTCATCCACATTTAATAAAAGCATTTTCAGAAAACTCTTCAGGGACTGATACCAAAAAACAGAGAATTCATCACTTCCCCTGATCCCAATTAGTCCCTAGCATTATAAGTGTGTATCTTACTCTCAATTTGAACTGGCTTCGGGTCCAGCCTAACATTTTTGTTCAGCCTTTCTCTACCAGACTGCAGAGCCCCTTGCCCCTTGTTTCTGTGCCAGCTGACTTTGCATATTTTCTCCCTGTAGAGTTCCTTGTGCCTCAAGTCATCTCTATGTCTTTAGTTAGTAATTTTAGCAAAAATAATCTCAACAAGTGTTTTGTTGCAAGGCTGCTTTTTCTGGTTTGTGAGGCTGTTTCCTGACTCTCTGTAGTATCTCAGTGCCCCGTGTGTAACAGGGCCAGCAGCCCTGGATGGGGTGGTCCAGCCTTGCACCATCCAGTGCCATGCTCAGGTGTAAAGCTGCCCCTTCCCTAGCTCACCAATCTCCTCTTCCTGTCTGAACTTGCAGCAATGAATCCCAACAGATTCCTTGTTCTCCTCTCTTGGCAGTTGATTTCTACAACATTGAAGGAAATTTTTCCTCTAGTTATTTTCAACTGATTTTTAATTTTTTGCAGGTGCTGCTTCCCCACTAAGAATGAAACTTAACTGTGTTCACTTTCTCTTTTTCCTCCCATCTTCATTCTCTTTTAGATACAAAAGTCATAGGAAGAGCCAGGAGAATCTTGGGCTTTTCTCCTATTATCATAAGAAGACATGTTAGAAATATTTGTATGTTGTATTTGGAAGACATATCAAGAGAATAAGGAAGAGCTGCCTCTTTGCCTGTCTGTGCAGTAACCTGCCAAGGGAAGCCAACGGTGCATAAATATTAATCTCCTATGCTCATACCAAAGATTTTATTAACTAGCTTCATCAATAATTGCCTTGCCTCCAGATGTATTCAGAATTTCAGCTATAAATGTCCTTCCCTCTGGGAACGGACCATTTATTTTTGTAAATGCTTATTTTAAAATATTTATCGTTTGGATAAAGAAGGTATTTTTTAATACAAGCTTTAAAACGATCTCCTAAGTGAGGGTCTGAAGCCATGTTTGCATATGTGTTTTATACTGGAACGAAGGATCACAACTGTTTGAAGAATGCTAGCCTGTCTTTTGTGGTAATTAATTTAAGAAAAGTACTTCAAACAAACACATGCACTCAAAGCCTTATTAAGAAATGGATCTCCATTTCAGAACTGTTTTGTCTAGATCCTTTTTACTCCCTGCCCTGAGCTCAAGTGTGAAAAGTTTATGGGTGCCAGTTCTCTTTGTGTCTGCCTTGTACTCAGTGTGTCTTTGGATTCCCTGCTGGTGCCTCATCCCGGCCTGTTCCTGGTCAAACCCTGCTGGCCCTGGTTGGAATGCCCTGGAGCTGGTGCTGACTGGTTCCGGGCCCACAGAGGGTCCCAGGGACTGGAATGTCTGACCTGAAGCACTTCAGACTACCAAGATGTTTAAGGTTTATTTAGTTCTCCCTTTCCCAGTGAAGTGCTTTGCACTCTGTATGGCTAAGAACCGGAACTAATCCAAGATACTTTGCAGTGACTCAAGTGTCATGACATGGGGCTTTTTTATGGCCAGAAGTACTTGAAGACTCTGGGATTGTTCATATGTCATGTGATGATGTCCTGTTTTTCTTTTCTGTGAGTTGAAACCTGAGAAACTTGCAGAAACCATTGTAAGATAAAATTCCTGAGGGAGAGGCAGGGAGTTGGGCTGCAAGTGAAGCAGCTGGGGGTTTCTCAGCTTGCTCCTGCCTCAGTCAGTGCCAAGGGCTGTGGAGAGTTCTTCAGTTACTGCTCAAGAGCATCAGGAGCTTGGGGAGACCATGATCCTGTACCTGGTGAGAAAGACACTTTTGTGGCTCTTCATTCAGTCAGGAAATTTCCAGATCAAATCAAATGTCATCTGAATAAACAGATACAGCACAAGTTACCAAGCACTGGAGGATCTCATGTGAAATTTAAAGTCATTTCAAGTGTTTTTTTCAAAACAGACTGAAAATTGTCTTTCGGCTTTAAACCTTATTCATGCTATTAAAATATCATCAGGGACTTTTTATATGGGTAGGACAAGGGGAAATGGTTTTAAACAGGCAGGGTTAGATATTGGGAAGAAATTCTTGGCTGTGAGGGTGGGGAGGCCCTGGCACAGATTGCCCAGAGAAGCTGTGGCTGCCCCATCCCTAAAAGTATTCCAGGCCAGGTTGGACGGGGCTTGGAGCAGCCTGGTCTAGTGGAAGGTGATCTGTGATCTCCCCCAAAGGAAATCTTCTTGTAATGACTGTGTTTCATTCCAATACAGCACTCTCTTGATAGAGCAGCAAGGATATAGTCCAGGGGAGGAGCTGGGTGGCCAAATCTCCCAGCTCCCCGATGTCCCTGTGCCAGCAGAGTGTTCTGTGTCCACAGGCAGACATGCCCCAGGATCAGCAGTGGGCCAAGGGATGCTGTAAACATATAAAATCCTGGTTGCTGCAAACATGGAACAAGGCAAATACCACGGAACAAAATAACACCCAGCGGAGAAGGTTTTTTGACTCCTTTCCCCTGCCCCCACCCCACCAGCTCATGTGCCTCTTGATCCCATCTCAGGGAGGACTCTTATTAGGGAGAAAACATTATATTTCCTACAGAACTGGGCAGCCACGAGGCTCTGCCTCGTTACACAACAGCTGCTGCTGTGCTGCCTCCCAGCTTGGGGAGGGCTTTAATCATGGTCTCTTGTTTTCTCCCTGCCTTGCCTTGTCTTTAAGGTGAAAACAGGTTGTATTTTTCTCCAGCAAAGCAGATCTAGTTTATAACATGTAAAATCATCCCTCTCTCCACTGCTGCTTACCTCGTCTAGCTGCCCCTTCTTGAGGGACTAGAACTACCTCTGAAAGCTGAAGGGGATTTAAATCTTTGCTTTGAAGCAAAATTTGAAACCTCATTAGAGGAGCAGTATACTGTTGTACACACAAAAATCATTATTCCAAATAATACAGTCACACCTTATTTTGAAGCAGAAGCAGAGGCCTTACTGCTCCCAGGCAGATTCTTTCTTTTTAGCTTACCCCCCATGGAATAACAGGTTACAAATTGTTGTGAGCTGCTGCTGAGACTTGCAGAAGTTATCAGTGCCTTTCTGAATCTGAAGATGAGAATTTGCTGGACTGCCCTCTTGGGTCGATCTAACCCTGTGCAGCAGGACATGGTCCTCCTAGTGCCTTAAACAGTGCCTTCTTGGCATGGAAACCATATGGAATTAGAGAGTCATAGACTGGGCTCAGTTGGAAGGGACCTTAAGGGCCATCTTGTTCCAACCCTGTAGGCAGGGACACCTTCCACTAGCCCAGGTTGCTCCAAGCCCTGTCCAGCCTGGCCTTGGACACTTCCAGGGATGGGGCAGCCACAGCTTCTCTGGGCAACCTGTGCCAGGGCCTCACCTGGCTCCCAGGGAAAAATTTCTTCCCAATATGGTACAGGGAAGTTTACTAAAGGCTGGAACTGTGTTTCCTCCCTTCCTGAGGTTGCTTGAGATGAGGATGCCTCTCAGGGGGGAAAAAAAGTGATCTGGAATGAGCTGTGCCAAGATTTAGAGCTGGGAGGAGAGAGGAAAGATGAGTCTTGGTTCATCCCAGTGTTAAAGGACCTGACAACAAAGAATAGAAAATAATCTGTTCCTTTATGAGGGCCAGTTACTAATTCCAAAAGTGAAGGTGAGGCTGCCTATAAGACTGGCATGTGCATAGGTTGAGAGATATTCTTGGAAGATTTTTCTTTCAGAAGCTTCTCTGCAAGCACATGCAGATAGTGATAGTTCTGTCTTCAGCTCCTGGAGGAAGCCTGTGTGTACCTGCGTGGGAGTCAGGTCCTTTTTGGCAACCAGTGTTATGGACTTGGGAATAAACCAAGCAGGGTCTTGGATGAGGCTGCTTAGCTGCAGAATTCCAGTTTCCCTGGCAAGTCTAGAATATCTTGGCCTTTGCTGCTGAAACTGTGCTGGTATTTATTTATAACTATATTTCACTCTGCATGCAGGGACGTTGTCCTGGCTAGGTTGTAGGTGGGTACATGTGCAGAGGGTGGGGGGCTTCCTTGTGAGTGCTGTGGTTCTTGTGCTGCAGGCAGGAATTTCACAGGAGCTAAGGAAAAGCAGACGTGTTTCCAGCATACCCTCTTTCACCTTGTGCAGCTCCCTGAAGAAGTTTTTGCATACCCCTGCAGCATTGTGCCTTTAGTGGCATTCCAGGCTGAGGAACCAGATGGTTGCTGGACAGGGATGCTCTCCTGGAGGGCTGGATGTGGCCGTCAGGAAGGAGATCCTGCTCTGCAGCAGCTGCTCCCATCAGGGACTGTCCCCCTTTGCTGCCAGGAGACTTGGGCACAAATCCCGAGGGCACGAGGGTGGGGAATGGGGGATGAGCTCTGGGTTCTTCAGCCCCAGGACCTCCTGATACCTAGCAAAGAAATCATCATCTTCTCTGTTTTTCTTCCTATGAATGGGCATTTTAATTTAAGGTGAAGCTGAACTGCCTCTGATTGTCCTGGTGGTGATGTTAGGGCTATCTCTATCCCAGGACAAGAGCTATCCCGTGCGGTAACCCCCAGGCTGACGTGCAGGTGCTGGCCTGAGCCATGGAAATGGTTAAGGCAGAGTGATGGGCCCATGTGTGCAGAGAGCTGGGAAGTGACAGATCCTACAATGAATTTGCACAATTCCATTTAGAGCCAGACTGCTATTTAAAGGACTTGGTGAAGGATGGTGTGCCTGCGATCCGGAGTGGGTATGAAGTGATGATTCACTCTGGGATGCGCTGGGCTGTTCCAGAGCTGCTGGCTGGAGTTCACAAAGCTCCCGAGGCAAACTTAACTCCTTTTGCTTCTTTCGTTTGTTGTTATTGTTCTCATACTGTAATAAATTGGAAACATGTTTGGTCCAAATGTGCAATTGTGGGTGCTTTTCCCTGCTATTCTGTGTGCGCAGGTGTTATTCCACGTTATGCCATGTCATGCCATGTTATGCCATGTTATGCCATGCCTCAGCTGTGCCCCAGCATTGCTACCAAGGAGCAGTTTGCTGCACTTTGCAGATCCTGTGCCTTGTAATAATGTCTCTGAATGTACAGCTCTCTGAATCCTGTAGAAATTCATGAATTTCTTTTTTTAACGGGGTAAAGCTGGCAATTAAATTGAAATAAAATCTGTTCTGAGAAAAGAATGCTGCTGGGTTTTTTTGTAGTTAATGTGATGTGCTTCCTTCCAGAGGGGCCCCTCGGTTGTTGCCCTCTTGTCGGCCCCTCCTGGGCTCTGCCCTCTCATGCTTAAAATTTTTCTGGGTATTTGTGGCAAGATTTTTAATGTTTTCATCAGCTTTCAAAATTCTTTGCAGTTTTTCTGCTTAACATGTTTAATGATGTGGAGTTAAACAGGACTCATCGATGCAAAGGCTGGGTGTCTTTGGGTTAAGCCTTGATTTCGTGTCATTTTGGGAGTCTCGTGAGTCACTGCCCACAAAGGCTTGTGTGGAGCCCCTCCTGTGCTTGTTGCAAAGGGACTTTGGCACGGGGTTGATTTTAAGGGCTGCTTTGACCACCCAGAAAGGGCCTTCAGGTAAGAAAAAGATGCAGACAGATTTGTTACTGGCCTGTTCTTTTGGATGAATTTTGAAGGGGGATCTGCTGGCCCAGGTGCCTCTATGGGCTGTCTTAAGGATCCCACCAAAGGAACTTGTTGCTGTAGTAGGAGAGTCATAGGATCATGGAATTGTTAAGGTTGGAAAAGACATCTGAGATCATTAAGTTCAGCCATCAACCCAGCACCACCACCACGTTCACTGCTCAGGTGCCACATCCACATGTTCTGTGAACGTTTCCAGGGATGGTGACTTCATGACTGGGCTTTCCAGGGCTGGACAACCACAAAGAAATCTTTCCTGATATCTAATCTAAACCTCCCCTGACAAACCTGAAGCCTCAGGAGGAGTCGCTGGCCCACAGCCAGGATTGTATCCCCTGTTGCAACACTCTTTGAGGGGCAAGAGGAGCCC